CGTGAAGGAAGCAAATGCTGAATTTCAGGTCTGGTTAGTGAAACTGAAGCTGGAACCTGAGGACCCCGGGCTCAAGTGTCTTCTCCTGTGTCACACCCTCTCCCACTGCACCAGCCGCCGTCCCCCTCACCTCCCTTCTTCTGGGCCAAACTCCCTAGAAGAGTCCTCACCCCTTAGTCTCCTTCCCACACCTCCTGTTCCTCAACCCATTGCAGTTTGGCTTTGACCATCCACACTGTCCTTGCCAAGGTTGCCATGACCTTGAGGTGGCTAGATCTGCTGTGCTTGCCTGCTTTCCTCGCTGTCACCCCTGACAGTTAGACTCGTGCCTTTCTCCTTGACCTCTGGCTGCCCTTCTCAGCCTCCTTCGACACCCATTTCCCCCTCCCTGGCCCATAAACCCGAGCACACGGCTGCCACTCAGGCTGGCCCTGGGCTCTCCAGCTCTCTGGGCGCTCTCACTCACTCCCATGGGCTTTACTGCAGCCTGCCCAGGAGGCCCCGTCCGTAGCTGCAGCCCGATGCTCCCTCCTGAGAGCAGCAATTGCTGCACGGACCAAGTTGCTACCTTCTGCCTGGAATGGCGCTAAGCGTTTTTCACGCATTATCTTACGTAACCCACACAATGACGCTAGAGAGTAAAGCGACACGTCTCACGGTTCTTAGCTGATGAGGGGCAGAGCCAGAATCTGGCGTCCCTAACCTCTCTACCTTCCTGGGGAACCTGGTAGACACCAAAACCTTCCAGCCCAAACCCAGCCCCTGACCCTGCACCCTGTGGCTCCTCCAGTTTCCCACTTCAGCCACAGGCACCGTTCGAAACGCACCGGCTTCCTTCCTGTCTTCCCTTCCCCTCGGCCGGACTCCTTATACAAATTCGCCATCCTCTTGTCTCCAAGTCCACATCTCCACACCTCAACCCACCTAGCTCGGCTTGAGAGGAAGTGGCCAGCCAAGGCTGCAGACTGGTGCCGACCTTGACACCCTTTCCCCACTCTGCTGCCCATAAGAACCATTCGGGGAGATTTGAAAAAGCCCTGGTGCCCAGAACATACCCAGAATCCCTGGGGGTGAGATCCAGGCACCGGGATTTTCAATCAACTTGAGAAAAACCAGGGTTTAGGTCTTAAAAACCTTGCCTGACATTAGGAAGCCACCCCGCGCCCGTCTGCCCCTTCCCGAAGCTCCGGCGACTTCTCTGCCCAGCGCACCTGCTGCCTCTTGGTGCCGTGTTCCCTGCTCGTGGCCCTGCCAGAGCGTAAGCCTGGTGAAGGCAAGATCGTGTCTGTCTGCTTCCCACTGTACCTTCAAGGAGAAATTCAGTCATGTTTGTGTCTTGAATGTTGAAGGTCATTTCAAGGGTGACAGGAGGCTTTCATGTTGTGAACACCCTTCCCTAAACAAAATCAACGGACGCTTCCTCCAAAACAACCAAAGGAAACAACTAACAAACACTCCCCCCACAGCTTTTACTTCTTCAACAACAGCCTGAAATGCCGCTAACAATGATTCACTTCTTCGGCTTAAAACTCCTTGTCTAATTAAAATGCGAACACAGCCCCCACATACAACACTATAACAGAATTAGTCATTGTTATTTTGCCCTAAATAATTTCATCAGCTCTTAATAGAAGAGAGAGAAGAATTGTCATGTATTGAGTACATCTTATGCACCAGACATTTCTACACAATCTCCAGAGAGATTCAGGAATCAGCCTAAAGTAATAGAGCTGGTAAACTGACAAATCAGATTTAAGCTGACATCTAACCAGCTTTCTCTGAACTCCAGCCTGAGTTTGGAGGGGAGAAAACGCACAAAAGGAGGGTAGAGGACGCAGAGAAGGCAGGCCTAGGCCTCAAAAGACCAACTTCACCTTTTCTATTTGATCGAGGAAGGTGCTGGATGCTGGGACTGGCTGGGGGTTGGGAGAGAGAATATTAACGGCAACAGCATCCTTCCAGGAGCTCGTTCTCTCTTCTACTTCATGTGCAACCCATGAGCAAATCCAGTTGGTTTTGCCTTCCAAATGCATCATCAGTTACCACATCACGTCTCTGTGCCTTCACTGCCCACTGCCCACCACGTCTCTCACCGGATCTCTGCAATAACCTTCCAGTTGCTCCCCCTGCTTCCGCCCTTGGCCATGGGATCACTTCCACTTCTGCCCCAAACCCCGCAGAGCCCCCATTGCTAGCTCTTATTCCCCCCACCAGCCCTTTCTCCCTCGCCCTCATTTACAGCCCAAGCCCCCTCCCTCAGCTCCAGCCCTTGGCCCCACCGCTCTTCCCCCAGCACTCCCCGCACCTGCCTTCCCTCGGGTTGGAGCACCTGCCCCCACACAGCTGCAGGCCCGCGCCCTGGCCTCCTTCAGACGCCACCCCTCAGTAGGGTCGTTGTAACTTCCCTCCCCCCTTTCTGGAACACTCTCATCCATCCTTCCTTTCAGCTTTATTTGTCCCCCAGCGACTGACGCAGCACAGACACTCCCTTATCAGTTCTCGCCTCCCCTCCAGAGCGCATTCCGAGGAGGGCAGGGATTCCTGTCTGTCCTGGTTTGAGCTGCAGCTTTGGGGTCCTGGACCCTGGGCATGTGGTAAGTGTTCAAAAACTGTTGGTGGATGGAGGAGTATGAGAACTCCGCTGAGAAACAGGAGGGCGCTGTACTCTGGGAGACACTATGAATCTTTAAAGACCTGCTGGCTCCAAGTCAGAGTGTGACCTTCAGCTACAGCAGGCATTGCTGTGGAGGTGGCTGGGGGCTCTGATCCAAGACGAATTACACATCCTATCTGTGGTCCAGTTCTGTCACCAGAGACAGTCTGAGGACCTCATGTGTGCACTGACACGTAGATGCTTAACAGATATTTGCTGAATAAATAAATAAATAAATAGGCAAATGTAAGCTTTTATCCAAATCAAAGATGAACAGAGGCCAGTGATTCAAAAGGCCAAATTTTGTTTTATTATGCATGAAGTTTAGACTTTTGCCAAGTGGAGACACAGGAAGTATTTAATTACTTTAGTTATACAAGCATTAACACGGAGCAGCGCAGGACAGCAGAAAGTGCATGGCTGGGGGTTGAAGGGCCACAGGGAATGCCACCCAGCTCCCTGCTCAGAGGCTGTGGGGTCTCTGGGTTACTCAGATGGTTTCCAGTCTCAGGGGGTGACATGGGCCTAACAGATTGCCTTAAAACTTCATTCACCTTTTTTCAAAGTCCTTCCTCTCCATCCAGAGTCAGCAGACTCTTCCATCGGATTTCTGGGTTCTACCCCAGACCCAGTGTATCAGACCACCAGGGGTGGGGGGCAGCCAGGTGCTTGCATTTTATTTTTCTTTAAAGCTTCATTTTTATTTTTTACTTTTATTTTACTGATTTAGAGAAAGAGAGCGAGCCAGAGAGATAGATGTTGACTTGTTGTTCCACTTCCTTATGCATTCATTGCTTGATTCTGGTATGCGCCCTGACCAGGGATTGAACGGGCAACCTCGGTGTATGTGGATGATGCCCCAACCAACTGAGCTACCTGGAACCTACACTGCAAGAATTCCCCAGGCCTTTAGGCCTGTTGCTGAAAGACGGCCGCCCTCTTGCTCCTCTGAGCGGTCCCTGAACCGGCAGCATCAGCATCACCTGGGAGCTCGTTAGAAACGCAGAGTCTCAGGCCCCACCCAGACTTTGTCGACCAGACCCCGGAGTGTTCCCTCTTTGAAAAGCACTGCTCCGTCACACTTGATTCAGCTGACTTTCAGAGCCCTCCAGCCGTTCTTCCAACTTCCAGAAGGACCCTCCTGAGAAACTTTCAGTCCGGGAACAAGCCTTTCATTTCACAACACAGGACAGGCTTGCAGTGCTGAGGTCTGCCTGCCTGACAGAGGGTCCAGGGGGACAAGGTTTCCACGGGTGGATCAAGGCAAACCTTTCATCACAGGTGACATTGCTCAGTGAGTGACAGGGAGTGCGATGGCAGAATAGGACTGTACATTTGGAGAGGAAGAGGTCGCCCTTGAGGAAGAAGCAGGATGGGAAGCGAGAGCTGGGACAGAAACTGGGTCCAGCCCCGCCCCACCTGGGGGTTTTCGTGCTGTGGCTGCAGGGGGCTCAGCCTCCGGGTGGGCAGCGTGGGGGGATCTGCTCTTCTCCCCGGCGTGCTGCCTGAGGACTTCACCCTGGTGTCTGTGGAGTCTGTGACCGTGGGCCGAGTCAGAAGCATTGCTGCTAAGTGGCCGAAAGGACCCCTTCAATGAACTAATCACGCTGATTGACATAGATATTTATTTTGATATATTTATATATTTTAAAGCATCTTTGAAATTGTGAAGTATGGTTTCTATTTATGACATAAGAGTACAGCGACAAAAGTGAAGTAGAAAGTTACTCTAATATATAAAGAACACACACAGCCAGACTCACCTCTTCGTAAAGAAAAATAATTTTAACAACCAATATGGGAAACTACTTCCTATGTACCCACTGTAGACAGAGAACCACCACTGTCAAGGAGCAAAATCAGAACATTATTGGCTTCATAGAACCAAATGAAAATGCTTTCGATGCTCTGGTCAATGTCATTTATGGACAGAGTCCTAGTTTCAATTCACCGGGAGAACTGATGTATAATGAGGCCTTTGACATAAAGTGATGGCCCTTTTCACAAACCGAATAGCAACCTAACCCCTCCCCTCTCCTCCACCCATCCTCCAGGTAGTTTCTCTCCTTTGGGAGCCTAGAGTTTTACGCATTGCATTTGCCTACACAAGACACACCTTTTTCAGGGCTATTGTGGGTTCCCTTCCCTCTGGTGTTGGTCATCGGGTCCTCCTGAGGACTCCGCGCCCCGCTAAAGCCTGCAGAAACGGAGTTCAGCCGCGCAGGCGAACTGAAGCCCAGTTACCAGCTACAGTGGCCTCGAGACAGCCCCCTTCCCGGCCTGTGGGGGGCGCCCGGGGGAGGGTGAGGTCGGGGATTGGGTTACCTGGCCCTCGAGGTCGCATTACCTGCCAGGTACTCGATGACTGCCGCCATGTACACCGGAGCACCCACGCTGATCCGGTACTTGAACGTCCCTTTCTTCAGGTAACGCATCAGCCTCCCCACCGGGAAGATGACACCGGCCCTGGCTGAACGGGACAGCTTGGACATTTTCTTCTTCCCGCTCCGGCCCGACATCTTGCTTCAGTTTCCCTCTCAGCTTGCTGACACGGTGGAACGCAATGCTGGAAAGGAAGGAAAACCGGGTGAGAAAGGGTGGCTCGCAGGTATCTTGGGGACAGTAGTGTGGTCCTAGAGCACTGTGTGACACGCCTGATGGTCCCGTGGAGGCAGCTGACGCCTGGCGGCCCCGCAGGGAGCGGCAGGCAGGAGGCTGGGCCTGGGGTCTTTGCCGGGGCATTGGTAGGCCCACCTGCAAGCTTCTCCCACCCCGTCAAACCGGCCCAGAGAAGCTGTCCCTAGAGAGAGAAGTGATGGTGTTTTAGGCAGCCGCATAATGGCTTCCAAAGGCGTCCACTTCATCACCCCCAGAACCATCTGTGAGTGTAAAACCTTTTGTGGCAAAAGGGACTTTGCAGATGTGATTAAGTTCAGGATCCTGAGAGGGAAGATTATCCTGAATTATCGGGGTGAGTCTGACGTGATGCAAAGGGAGGTGGGAGATCTGAGTGAGTCGTGATGTGAGTGAAGGAAGTTCTCCCCTCAGAGCTTCCAGAAAGAACCAGTCCTGTTGACATCTTCATTTTAGCCCAGTGTAACTGACTTTGGACTTCTGACCTCCAGACTCTCAGAGAATAAATCTATATTATTTTAAGCCACTAAATTTGGGGGTACAGCAGCAACAAGAAAACTAATGGGATTCCTCTTTTCTCTGATTTGCTTCTGTTTTAATATGCAGTATTTAATTGATTAATTTATCTATTTTTAGAGAGAGGGGAAGGATAAACAGAGGAACAGAAACATCAATGTGTGGTTGCCTCTCACATGCCCCCTACTGGGGACCTGGCCCGCAACCCAGGCATATGCCCTGACTAGGAATCGAACATGTGACCCCTTGCTTCACAGGCTGGCTCTTAATGCACTGAGCCACCCTAGCCAGGGCAATACACAGTATTTTATTATAATGTTGGCTTTGACCTACAGCTCACAGCTGATTTCTCAGGTGGAAACACTTTTCTAAATTTCCAATAATTTTTAAAAATAGAAACATGCCGGAAGACGTGGTTTTATTGAACATGCTAATGCACAGTAGCCGAACATAGCAAATAAAAGTCAGAATGCGATTCAGGCTTCTGCTGCTTGGAATGGGGGGTCCAGCGGGGCCTGGGGGAGAAACTTCAGAATGAGCACGGAGAAGTGGCTTCAGTACGACGCACGGAGAGACCGGTTTATAACTCATTGTTTCAGGAGCTATCTTTTGTGTGAAATAAAATAATTATGCTTCTGAAAGTCTCTGCAAGGCCAAAGTTAATTCAGAGCATTGTAATAGTGCTTAACTTTTGTTGGTTGAGGGAGTACTGTGACCAAAGAATGGAATATAATTCAGAATAAATAGAAGGACATTACAAAGGTCAAGCAAGCAGGACCAAAGAAAAGAAACCAGAAAATTTCTAGGAAGTGTGTTAATGAATGAAGCTCTCTGCCCCAAGGGTAACGTCATTGCCAGTGGCCATTTCTTGTGGGGATGGAAAACGAGAAGGTCAAAAATAAACTGAAATCGGTTCTACCTGGTGAGGCAACCACTTCAAATCTTGGCCAGGCCAGCTTACCAACAACCTAGGTAGCAGCAAAAAGGCCTAAGAAAGTGGCTAAAAATATGATGCGTGAAAGTGCTAAATGAATGCAATGCTAATGTGAAAGGTACCAAACTGGGGTTTATTTAATCTGGGTGGAAGAATGAACACTGAGTTCAATTTTCTAAAGTATCTGGCAACTCTGTTATGACTGAGGAGTTACAGAAAACCATAGAATTAGCAATGAACTCCATTCTCAACACCCTGCTATCCCCATGAAGGATGCAAGTTTGAGGCATTTTATGACATGCCTCACAAACATTTATTTTAAACGTTTATATGTACCTATATGATCCCATTTTATGTGTAGCTTTGCCACCAAAAGATGTAGGTATTCATCAAAGTTAAGCACAAACAAAGGTGAGCAAATAGCCTTAGAATATTCTCTCTTTCACAGCAAGGTGCGGGAATAAAGCCATCACCGTGTTTAGGAGTTTTGTATTTTCTGTGCTTCTGCTGTGCATGGCTGTTAACTCTTTGTAAATAGACTCACAGATATCCTCTCTTGGAGGAAGTGAGCAACTGCATGTTAGGATTATAACCATCGATTTACGTTGAGGAAATTTAGGTCAGGCATCAGTAAATGTTCTGAGTGCCTGTCGTTGGCCATTACTGTCCCAGGGTCAGGGGACATGTATAGCAATGTGAAATGATGGTCCCTGTCCTCAGATTGAGCCACGCAGCACATGTTTGCTAACTGGTGGCAGCGTTCAGAATGGAGGTGGCTCCTGGTATACCAGAAGGAGCCCGGCACCGGGAATGGGATCCAGGGTGTGGTCCTACTTCTGCATAACCGGCCGTGAGCTCTGAGCGTCGGTGTGAGTCTCATCTGTAAAATGGGACAGTGACTAACAGGTCCTGAGGGTCCTTCTGGTCTTAAACACTCCTGTTTTTTTTCAACTTTTAAATGATTCTGGAAAAGAAGTTTATGCCCTTTAAGAAGTGAGTTTTAAAGCCTTAAGAGCTGGTGCAGGTTCACAAAAATGTGTTAGCATTGGTGCCTCCACTAAGCCAATTATGTACTTTTTTTCAGTTACTAGTAAATGGAGAGAAGGGGGAGGATTAGTAGGTCTGGCTGCCAAGGAAACACCTAGAAAGCCCATCCCAGGCAGCGAGCCCTGTGGGTAGACATGCGCTGAACCGTCTCGGCCTTTCCCGCTGACAGAGCCGTGCACAGAGGACAAACCCACAGGGGCAGGACCCCCCCTCCAGTTCCTTCAAACGGAAGAGCCAGAGAATGAGTGGGTGTGCAAGATAAAGCTACCTAGGGACTTTCCCAATGTCAGCCAAGAAGAGTCACAAATTTCCCTAAAAACTGGAAATTAGGACCAGCAGCAGAAGAAAAACAGGGGGTAACAGAGGACTGAGGCCTAAAACGCTCATGAAGATAAAACAGCCAAGTAAGGAAAACGGGGTTAGGTGAAATAGACAGACATATCACTGAGTATTATAAAATGTGGGGACCACCCAAACACAGCATCTATAAGAAGACTTTTTTCCTTTGGCTTCCACACGTCCCTCCATGTCGGGGCCTTGAGACAGAGCTGAAGATGCAGCTCCACCTGAGGTCTACAGGCAACCGGGACTGTTGTATATGCTTCCATAGCGCCAGAGAGTTCTTCATACCTGGGGAGCCCGTCTTTTCAGACAGTGGGCTGAGTTCAAGCAGCCAGGCACTTAACTCCTGGGCCCCCAAGTGCTGGGGGGTCCCTGAACACTGTAGGGACAGGCATATCAAGGAACCCCTGGGAAAGCAGGGAGGAGGCATATCCTGCCTACTGGCGCCCACAGAGGGAAGCAAGGGCTGAGCCTCCTGGAGTCTCTTGAATGCTTTCCAAAGACCACCCCTGTCCCTCAGCCTGAGCTGGCTCTGCCTGGTGCTATAAGAAATGACAACGCCTGACTTCTTTTCCAGGCCAGCCTTTCCCATTCTTGGGAAGTCAGGTGATATAAAAACTTGAACAGGCTGTTACCTTCTGTGAACTTGAGTCTGTGTTGGGCCACTCATCAAAAAAGAAAAGAACTATTGCAATGTGAACTTTTTTTTCATCAGCCGTTTTTTTCCATTCAAACATTAATATTTAAATGTTTACATTTATTTTCTTTATGCTCTACAACAAATTTTACTCTAATTAGGCTAAGCTCAAGAACTCTAGTTCGTTAAGTTTGTTAACATGTTTGAAGAACAGGGTTTTGAGTGGTTCTAGGTACTATGTGGTGCCCCCTGGAGGCCGCTCAGCCATGCTCCGGTGGCTCCATTCTCCAGGCGGCTCTGAGGTTCTTCAGAGGAATTGGGTAGACCAGAAACATACAACCTAAATCTGCAATACACCGTCCTTTCATACCTGAGAGACCAAGAATACTAAGGTGTAAAGTCTCATAATTACTTGCAGAGTGAATGGGAGAGTTATCAGTGTGTTAACTGTGGGGGACAGGAAAATAAAACTCAAATTCAAGGAAAGAAGGAGAAGGCAGTGCTGGCTGCCCACTCCCTCACCTCCAGGAGGGCGGCAGCAGGAAGAACATGACTGGTTTCGTGTGCACTGGGGAAGAACGCATACTCGAACACCGTTGTTTTAGGATTTATTTTTATGATTGGGTTTTCAGCCCATAAAGACACCGATGAGGGTGATTTTACAGGTATCACAAGGGTAAATATTAAATTGCAGCGCTGACTCAGATGCGGGCAATAAACTCACACCAGCCTGTTCAAATAACTGCAGTATGTCATTGGTTTTACAGTGCTCTTTTTAAAAACCATTTTACTATCTCTAGAAATCAGTATGCATCTTGCAATCTATGACATCATAGATTCAATGAAAGTATATATTTATGGAGCATTTATTATTGGGCAAGAAACTACATTAGATATTGTAGAATGTACATAGCCCCTTGTCCTCAAATGTTTTCCAATAAAGTTTTATGATAGACCATAATACAATTTTGAACAGATGTGAGAGACTTGGTTCCCAAACTGTGTGCCAAGGCACCCTGGGACATAACAGAGGGTGTTGAAGATTTCAAAGAAAATACAGTGGTACTCAACCTCCACTGGACCCCACAACCGTGAGCTGGTTGCTCCAGGTGGTCCCACCTGTGGTTCACGGTAGTTTGCACTCTCTTCCTTTTGATGGCGCTGAATCTTTGCAAAGCTGAGTTTTTGGCGGTTGGTCTGACTAAAAGAAAATGCTGGGTGAAAATCAACGTGGAGCAGAAAATGACAGTGGCGGTCTCCAGTCTGACCCTTAGGCCTGAGAAGTTATACAGTGTCCACCAGGCACACACGTCCTGTGTGTGATTCATTGTGGTTATTTAAGAATGGGGTATATTCTTTTTTCTTCTCATTCATGTATTAATATTTTCTTAAACAGCTACTGTTGTTAGGACATATATACTTAAATTGTTTGGACATAACCACCTAATAAATAGAG